CAGGGGGCCCCCAACCAAGGGACCCCCCCCCAAGGGGCCCCCAACCAAGGGTCCCCCCCCCAAGGGGCCCCCTTTGAAGGGGCCCCCCCTCAAGGGGCCCCCTTTGAAGGGGCCCCCCCTCAAGGGGCCCCCTTTGAAGGGGCCTCTCCCCGGGTGAATAGAGGAGTTGGCGAGGAGGTTTGTTCAGATTTGTATACTTTGGAGGAGAGTTTTATCGGCGATGATTTCTGGGACTTGAGTAAATTTTTTTTTTTTGAGTGGGGGGACCCAACTGGAGGTACAGTTGAATATGTAGGTAAGCAGACAGCGCAGCGGTACAGCTTAATTAAAACTTTATCTGATAAACGTATTCATATTAAAGCAGATACTACGGAGACGCTTGCAAGTAATAAAGGAAGAAAAGCTATTCGACTCACATCGCAAAGGGCATGGACAGATGTAAGAACTCTCTTCTTTGCTTCTTTGCTTCTTTGTTTATTTGTTTATTTGTTTGTTTTGTTTGGTTTGTTTGTTTGTTTGTTTGTTTTGTTTGTTTTGTTTGCTTCGTTTGCTTTGTTTGTTTGTTTGTTTGTTTGTTTGTTTGTTTTGTTTGTTTGTTTTGTTTTGTTTGTCTCTTTTGTTTATCCTTTGTTTGTTTTGTTTGTTTGTTTGTTTTATATTTTTCATATATCTCTTCCTCTCTTTATTTTGTCTCTCCTTCGTTTATTTTGTTTGATGCATCCATCCATCAGAAGCCTACATCCATGCCTGTATGTTTGCATGCATGCATATAAATATATGAATATGAATATGAATATATGTCTGTTTGCATGCATCTCTACATGCATCTCTGTATGCATGCATTAATGAATATATATCTCTCTGCATGCATCTCTGCATGCATCTCTGCATGCATCTCTCTGCATGCATGCATCTCTGCATGCATGCATCTCTGCATGCATGCATATCTGCATCCCAGCATGTCTGCATGCATGTCTGCATGCATGTGTGAATATGTATATATATATATGTGCAGGCTTTATGGGTGTTAGATTTGACGCATATGCCGACAGGCTGTGGGACGTGGCCTGCATATTGGACAGTGGGCTGGGACCCGTGGCCTGATACAGGTGAAATAGATATAATAGAAGGAGCAAATAAGCAAGCGCATGCACACAGCGCATTGCATACAAAGAAAGGGTGTGTAATGCCTTCAAATACTTCTTATTTTAATGGGAAGTGGTCTTCTATTAATAACGCGAACTCTCTTGCTCTTGATTGCTGGGTTAATGCTACACCTGATAATACTGGCTGCTCAATTGAATCTTATGAAGATGCATATGGAGAGCCTCTTAATAATAAAGGAGGAGGTTATTATGTTATGCAATTACATCATACTAAATATATACGAATCTGGTTCTTTACACGTAATGAAGCACCATTGGACCTGACCAATGGTCACCCCACACCTGACCTATGGACCAAGAAACCTTTAGCTTATTTCACTCTAGGATCCAATTGTAATGGAAATGAATACTTTAAAGAACAAAGAATTGTTATTAATACAACCTTCTGCGGAGGCTATGCTGGATGGAGCTTCACGCAAGCGAACGGGTGCCCCGGTAACGGATTACAAGATTGTGAGGCGTTTGTTCGCAACAACCCTCAACAATTTAAAGAAGCTTATTGGGAAATTAAATCTATTAAAGTTTATAAAAGAAAAGGCCAAAGCTGCACATACACCTCAACTTCTACCAAATCAACCGCTACTTCTACCTCCACCACATCTTGTAAGTCCTACTTCATTTATTAATTTATTAATTTATTTATTCATTCGTTTATTTATTTATTTATTTATTTATTTTATTTGTTTGCTTTATTTATTTTATTTATTTGTTTTATTTATTTTGTTTATTTATTTGTTTATTTCTCTCTGTTTCTTATAAAATAACAGACAAATAAACAATAAGGAGACACCAAAATAAAAACATATAAATAATAATAACATTAAAAGGAGACAGATAAATTCATATACAAACAAAACAATACAAAACAAAGAACATCATATGCTTTAGGGTATATATATAATATTTGTTAATTTTAATATTTGTATAGCGTGATGGTGTAAGAAAAGAAATAATAAACAAACCCAATAATAATTAAACAACAACTAAACATTATCTTCGTGCTGCAGCAGCCTCTCTTCTATATCCGTCTCCTTTTGCTGTTGTTACTTATCTGTCTCCTTTTGCTGCTGCTATTTGTCTCTCTTTATGTCTCGCTTACCCTTGTTTATTTGTTTTTCTTTTGTCTCCTTTTGCTGCTGCTCTTATTTAGTTGTTTTGCTTCTGTCTTCTTTTGTTTTATGCTTTTTGCTGCTGCACAGATTCCTTTCCCTGGTGGGATGACTCTTGGAGCAGCAGCAGCAGCAGCAGCGGTGGCAGCAGCAGCGGGGGTGGGGGCAGCAGCAGCGGAGGTGGCAGCAGCAGCGGAGGTGGCAGCAGCAGCGGGGGCAGCAGCAGCAGCAGCAACACCACCACTTCAACAGCTTCAACAGAATCTGAAGACTCAGGCAGCAACAATGGAGGGTGGGGGGGCTGGTGGCCCTGGCCTAGTGAAGCGTCAGCTGCAGCTTCGTCTCTCTTCGTTCTTCTGCTTGCTCTCCTCGCGCCTTTGCTGCATGCAACTCGCTAAATTCAACTGTATACGCAGCTTGATAGGTCCAGCTGTATACGCAGCTTGATAGATTCAGCTGTATACGCAGCTTGCTGGATTCAGCTGTATACGCAGCTTGCTAGATCCAGCTGTATACGCAGCTTGCTAGATTCAGGTGTATACGCACCTTGATAGATTCAGGTGTATACGCAGCTCGTTCAGGTGTATACGCAGCTCGTCCAGGTGTATACGCAGCTCGTTCAGGTGTATACGCAGCTCGTTCAGGCGTATACGCAGCTGATGCTTTAAGTGGTTTATGTTCAGCTAGTTGAGCTGTATTGCGTGCATCTAGTTGAGGTGTATGCGCAGCTAGCTCAGCTGTATGTGCATCTAGTTGAGGTGTATATACTGCTAGTTGTGGTTTCTTATGTGCACCTAGCTGCGGTGTATATGCAGCTAGCTGAGGTGTATATGCAGCTAGCTGAGGGGTATAGGCAGCTAGCTGAGGTGTATAGGCATCTAGCTGAGGTGTACATGCAGAGCGAATGACAGCGTAGTTCACCAAATGCCGCGTCCAGCAATTCCCAACCGAAGGCAAAACAAATAAAATAAACAAATAAAAAATAAACAAATAAACAAACAAGCAAACAAATAGACAAAAACAAGCAAACAAACAAATAAGAAGAAGACCGACAGCTCCAACACCCGCTCCCATCCTCCTACCTGCATGCAAGCCGCTGCATGCATGCAGCATTTGCATACAGATTTGCATGCATGCAGCATTTGCATGCATGCAGATTTGCATGCAGATGCATGCATTTGCATGCATGCAGATTTGCATGCGATAAGGATTGGTTGATGGAGAGGGTTTTTATTTTGTTTTTGTTTTTTTGTGTTTGTTTATCTGCGGGTGGCGATGAGCAGACGGCGAAAAGAGACAAAAGAATAATAATTAGTGGGGCATTAAAAATAAACTGTCTCCTTTTCTTTGTCTTTGTTTATTTGTGCTTGTCTTTGTCTGTTTATATTTGTTCTATTTCTTGATTCTTTGTCTCTGTCTCTGTCTCTCTTATTTTCTCCTTCTCTCTGTTTGTCTTTATATTATTATTCTTTTATTATCATAGATATATATACATATATTATTATCATATACATATATATATATATATATTGTCTGTCTTTGTCTCTGTCTAATTATATTAGTCTCGCTTCTTCCTGTCTCTGTCCCTCTTTCTCTGTTTATTACTATTATTATTTTATTATTATTATTTTATTACTATTATTGTTAATATTATTATTTTATTAGTATTATATCAAGTTCTTTAAAGAAGACAGCAGAGACAGCGAGAAAAAGACAAAAACAAACGCCGAGTTATCATAAAAAACAAATATCAAAGAAATAAATAAGCAGATATATAAATAAACATTAATTTATTTATATAAATATAAATACATATATTTATATTTATATTTATATGTATAAACGTATATAAATGGTCTCATTATCTATATATTACTTCGCCTCGCGGGGCACTCAGCTGTCTCCTCTACTCCTTCAGGGCTCTGTATAGCTCCGTGCATGCACGCAGCTATATGCATGCAGCTACATGCATGCATGCATGCAGCTACATGCATGCATGCATGCAGCTATATGCATGCAGCTATATGCATGCAGCTATATGCATGCATGCATATAAAGCTGCTGAGATGTTGTAGGAGACAAACATCTCAAGAAGACAGATAAAGTGACAGGAGACGACAGGAGAGACCCCAACTAAAAACCTACAGCCCTTTGACTCAGCATAACACCAACAGCAGCAGCAACAACAACAATAACAGCAGCAGCAGCAGCAGCAACCTCCTCAGCTGTACATACACCCCAGCTCAAAGAGAGGAGAGCAAACGGAAGGGACAAGAGACAAAGACAGAGACAGAAAGAATAAAGAAAACCAAACAAATAAACAAATAAACAAATAAATAAATAAACAAATAAATAAATAAATAAACAAATAAAGAGAAGGAGACAGAAGAAGACATGCTGCAGCACAAGACCCCAGCTTATGCCTCTTTGCGTTGTTGTGTTATTTATTGTTTAATTTTATGTCTGTCTGTCTCTTTTATCTTCTTATCTCTTTATTTGTTTATTTGCTGCTGCATGCATGCAGCAGCGCAACAGACAGAGTTATATGCATATATAATATATAAACAATTCTTTTTATAAACACCAACTCAATAAACAAACAGCAGAAATCTGTCTCTTAAGCCCCCCTCATGATGCCTCCTTACTATATAACCTTCCATGCATGCATGCAGACGCCGTTGCTGCTGCTGCTACTGCTGCTGCTGTTGCTGTTGCTGTTGCTGCTGCTGCTGTTGTTGCTGTTGCTGTTGCTGTAGTTCGCCTTTGACCTTTGTCCTGCTTCCCGCGTCCCCTGCTGCTTCAGCAGCTGCTGGTGCTGCTGTTGCTGCTGCTTCTGCTGCATTTATGCTGCTGCTGCTGCTGCTGCAGCATCACAAGTCCCAATACCCCGGAGGGGTTGAAGGAGGTGCGGCAAATTGCCTGTGGCGAGAGCAGCGCCTCTTATTTGCTGCAGCAGCAGCAGCAGCAGCAGGGTCTCCGTTGCATGCATGCGTTTCTTCTGTTCCGCTGCTGTCTGTTTCGGTCTCTGCCTGCGGCTGCTGGTGCTTATGCTTCTGCTGCTGCTGCTGCTGCTGCTGCTGCTGTTGGTGGTGTTTGCAAGGTGCTGCTCTGTGTAACGTGGAGTTGCTGCTGCTGCTGCTGCTGTCTCCTTTTCTTTCTAGCAGCTGGTAGAACTCTGCGCATTGCATGCACTCAAATGCAGGCAGCTGCGCCCTCTCGCTGCGGTGTACAGACACCTGAACGCGCGGCAGCTGCTGCTGCTGCTGCTGCAGCTCCTGCTGCATAGACAGCCCAGAACAACGCACAGAAACACATACACCCTGACGATGTCCCCTGTCATCTGCTGCTGCTGGTGCTGCTGCTGTTGCTGCTGCTGTTGCTGCTGGTGCGGCTGCAGCACGTGCTGGAGTAGCAGGTGCTGCTGCTGCTCCTGCTGCTTCTGCTGCTGCTGCTGCCAGCACTGCTGACGCTTCGGATTTTATTGGGGTGCTGCTGCGGATGCGTCTCCGTTCACTGTCTCCGCCGTCTTTGCTGCTGCTGCTGCTGCTGCTGCTGCTGCTCCTCGCCCTATCTGCAGCAGGCCAGCCTGTCTCCTTGTGTGTCTCCTTTTGCTGCGTGGTGGCTGCTGCTGCTGCTGCTGCTGCTGCACTGTTTGCAGCAGCTGGCTGCACCTGGTTGTCAGATCGCAGGCAGCTCTCAGCAGCAACACTGCTGATGGGGGCGCAGGATACCACAGCCCGACTCCGCTTGCTGCTGCTGCTGCTGCTGCTGCTGCTGCTGCTGTTGCTGTTGCTGCTGTTGGGGTTCGTTGGCGATGGGGTCTCTGGGCTCTGTGCCCCTCCCGAGTCCCTGTTGTCCTGCTGCTGCTGCTGCTGCTGCTGCCTGTTCTGCTGCTGCTGCTGCTGGTGCCTGTCTTGTGCTTTACTGGCTGCCTCTGCTGCTTCGGTTGTGTCTCCCGGTCCTTCTCGCTTATGTTTACCGTTGTCTCCTGTAGGTGCATCGCTGTCTCCTGCTGCTGTTGCTGCTGCTGCTGCAGTTGCTGCTGCTGCTGTTGCTGTCTCTGCTGCTGCTGCTGCTCTATCTGCTGCCTCTGCTTCTGGCGGTGTGTCTACGGGCGAGCGCTTCTGTCTTTTGGGGCAGTCCCTTCCGTCCCTAAAATTGCTGCTGCTGCTGCTGCTGCTGCTACTGTTGCTGCTGCTGCTGCTGTTGCGGCTGCTGCTGCTGCTGCTCGCAGAAGGTGCTTCGTCTGTGAGCAGCTTCAGGCCATGGATGCAGCAGATGGGGACTACTAATTTTTTGTGTTTGTCTTCTTTTTCTGTCTCTGTTTCGCTGTTGCTTGAGTTGCTGCTGCTGCGCCTTCTGCTGCTGGAGGGGCTGCTGCTGCGGCTGCTGCTGCGGCTGCTGTTGCGGCTGCTGCTGCTGCTGCGCTGCACGCAAACAGCAAATGGTTCAAAGGCAGCAGAAGAAAGCTCCGTGCCCCTCTTCAAGCTGCGCAGCGGCAATCCACTAGCAGCAGCAGCAGCTCTATCTAGGAGACACAAGACCCGCAGGTGGGGTTTGCTGCTGCTGCCTGCTGCTGCTGCTGCTGCTGCTGCTGCTGCATCATCAGCAGCAGAGGGGTGTTGGGTCCACTCAGCAACGAGCAGCAGCAGCTCGGAAGCAGGTAGAGCGACCGCATCCTCGAGGAGGCGCAGCAGCAGCAGTTTGCTGCTAGCCAGTGCATGCACCGGTGCTGCGGTTTGAGCAAAAGAAGCAAAGGTGCTCTCCCAGGTGTCTCTGCAGACAGTAGCTTGAGCAAGAAAATAACGAAAGCCTTCAGCAGCATGCAGAGCCTCCTTGCTAAGCAATGCGCCTCCTGCTGCTTCCAGCTGTATTGACAGCCCTTTGCTGCTGCTGCTGCTGCTGCTGCTGCTGTTCCAGTTCAAGCAACAAGGCTCTTCCCCGCTGTCGCTGCACCTACGACTCCCTGCACCTACTCCTGCAGCAGCAGCAGCAGCAGCAGCTGCTGCTGCTGCTGCTGCTGTGGCTGGCGCTGCACTGTCGGAGAAGGGACTACTGCAGCTGCCGCAGCGGCTGCGCACACAGCCAGCAGCAGCAGCACCCCCCGCTGCTGCTGCAGCAGCAGCAGCAGCAGCAGCAGCAGGAGGGTGAAGAATGAATTCAGGCAGAGGGAGATCGTCAACACGCAAAGACCAGCGATAAAGTCTGCCTGTCCATTTACCTGC